GTTGCTCCACAGCCAAATGACTACTGCTTTACTGACGGTTCCGTCTCGCCCAGTATTTCTGCTTCTCATTCAACTGACCCGTCGTTTCCTAAATACCAGTGCCTTGAAGGCACCGTCAATTTGCCTCAGACGCCTCAAATGCCGTCAAGTAATACGTCTACAGAAACCTCATTGCCACCTCAAACGCAAAATTCCTTTGTTAGTGGCCCTCGGACAAGTACTGTCAGCGAGGCCTTATTTGTCCGGATTATTGTTTCACGATGCAAGAGAATTGCACCCTTGTGGTTTCGGGGCATTTCTTCGATGCGGGAAAGGAACAGGGAAGAAAATCGTCGAACGTCAACCAACGCTGGTCAAACTCAAAACGACTGGAGCATTATATCGGGAAAGATTCGGGTGAGTGTTCACCACTGCTGGTGTTCTACCTAGATTTGTGCTTGATTCTACTTTTTAATTCCCATATCAAGTTTGCGGAGTCGTTGAAGATATGTTGGCAGCTTACAAAGTCGTTTTCAGCTGTCACGTTTAATAAACAAGTAAACTGCAATTTTCGGCGATTTTTTCAACAATAGACGCCTCTTACAATTGCTTTCGATTCTGTTCGGGCTTTGAACTCCTGTGCACTGTCTACATTTTAAATCATACCTGAAGTAACCTATGTGTGCTGGTACAACCTCAATCTCCAATATTCTATTTCAATACATTTGTTCCATCAGGATATAAAATTCACATATTAGCCCTTACTTCTCGTCATTTGACCCCACGAATGCAATTTACTTCTTCGTAATTTATCTAAGTCTTCTCGTCGATCTTCAAATTTCTTGTTTCTTTAATTCAGCTGAGAATCGAAGTGGCTTGGGTTGACGTAATACAAGTCCGTTACATGGCCTAGTAACAGCTCTGTTCAACTTTACGTTAGCATTGGGATTCATTTTATGGCGTAAAACTTGCATTAATTATTTCAAAATGCTTCATTCTGCATGTTCGGGTCGTTACCTTATGTATCAACCTAGAGATATGCATAATGCCATATTTTATGGTGCATTTTATACTTTTAGGTTATAACGTGGTTTATATTTACCTCTAGATATCTATTTAATTTTCCTATACAATGTATATACTAAGCAATTCCACGTTTTCCTGATTTAGCTAACTACAGGTTGTCTGGAGATTTGTACCGTAATAATGCCTCTTACATTTACATCTTATTTACTCACTGGCGCTGCACGTCAGGAAACTCATCGACTTGGACAAGCTTGAAGCTTCTAAATCTGTGTGATTGGGTGTTTGCTTAAGACGTCGTGGCTGAGAAAGCGCTTATCAGGTGAAAAACAGGGGACACAAACGGCTGTTTTTCTGATGGCCTATCAACCAATTAGAGTGGCGTCCTGTCAATTAGTGAGGCCTATTACTACTACGGCAGTTGAAAATAGGCCTTGACGTCTAACCACACGCATCCCTACTGTGTTGTGCCTCCGCACTGAGGTTCAGATCACGCGTTCGTGGTACGTGATGTAAGTGGCAGGCAAGTCGAGGTTGTGCAAAGGTGTGTTAAGTTCGGCCCTCATGCGCTACTAGTGCGTGTAAACTGATTTTCGATGGAGCAGTCTACTCAGTTATGTTCATGGGATTGCGTAGTAACACGGTAATTAGGCTTGTTGTAAGTTGACGCTTAGAGGCAAATTATTGATTCCCTTGTGAGGCAGTTTGAAGCCACTTTAAGGTTTTACTAATCGCGGTTAACACTCCCTTAATGGCCTTGTTAGTGTCTTTTGTCCTGCGTTCCGTTATAAATAGCCCTCTCTCATTTTCTTGGGTCTTTAAAACTACCAGCACCTCTGTTTTAAAGTACACAAACCTCTTGTGAATGAATTATGACCATATCTATTTTGGTGCCAAATTGTAGCCTTTGGCGAGGACGTGAATTGTCGATTCTTCTTTGTCCTCTACCTTGATGAATTTGGGTGTCTAAACTGATATCATTGGTCAATCCAAATGGTAGCATTTCATCTAGGTGATAATTTGTGTACATACGAACCGTCTGTGGTGCTTACCAAGTAACGTGCCTTTTAATCCTCAAATTGGAGCGCACTAGCCTTGTTTCCCCTGGTGAGAAATGTACGCTGGATTTTGTTCATTGATTCTGCAATTTCCGGGAAAGTCAGGCGTATTCTGGATCTAGAGGTACTTTGAATTTCGGAAACTAACGATATTCGAACTCCTTACTCCGTAGACAGGTGTATGTGGAAACATCAAAGATCAATACCTTGGTTATGCACCGACTCCTCCTAGCCTGACTCCATCCTCCACCTTGGTCGCCTGATGGCATTCTCAAGCACCTTATCGATGCCCCCTTGAAGTCGGCTCACGCGAACTAAGGCAAACACTTACTTGCGAAATTTGAGCGGCTTTTGTTCATGCTTGTTTTTTTTTTTGCACTATCTGGTTTGTCAGCATCCTTATTGCACCCACCGCTGCTCTGCTTAGGGTCCTGTTTATAAATGTTGCCTTCCGGCGACGCGACAATCTGGAGTGGCAGTTTTGGGATGAAATCGGTATTGGAGTTTTGCATATCCTCGTTCACCTATTTAGTTGGTTAGTTTCTTGACATAATTGCCCACCTGGTAGTCAAATCAGCCTCTTCCTCCAGAACATTCCATGGTTTCCACGATTAGTTATTTTCTGGTACACAGACCTTGGAAGCGCCGTTGTTGTAAGCAAGTAGTGTCTATAGAGGACATTTAAGCGGTTGCTTCCACCACCTCTTCCTACCACTTTCCAGGCGTCGGAATCGTGTGTTTAGGTTCGACGACTTGACAATTGGTCGTTTCAGTTCGCGCCCCTTATTTAAACGCCACCTTGAAAGTAAATTAGCCGAAGCCGCGTTGTCGGTTGCCATCACGCATCCACCGCCTAACCCCAGTTGTCCTGTTGCCACCTCTAGGAAATGAACCAAATCATGGAGACTGACACAGTGGTCAACTTGCTGAAGAAGCTTCACAAGGAGCTGCCGGCGGACTCCGTGCTCAAGTTCATCAAGTGTTGGCTGGGCGACGCTGACGCCCTCAACGACCCCGACTCCTGTGTCCTCAGCCGACCCGACGCCAAAGGCCGGATGCGACGTATCGACGGTGGCAAGGGCTCCGACAAGGTTAGTCGTTGCCAGGCAACCCATTTCACCCAGCACCCCATTCCCATCGACTGTTTCTCTTCCGTGACTGGAGGTCCTGAAGGCGCGCCAGTCGTTGTTATTGATCTCTGAACTTGTCTGACACCTAGCGATCTACTGGTTGGCCATTGGTCCGTATTCGTGCCTACCGTCCACCAATCAGTGGGGCTGACAGGGCGTGCCCATATTCGGTGTGCCGTGAATCCCGTCCGCGACACTTCCCACGACCCATCCCACAGCGCATCAACACTCCGACAACTGGACTGGTGAATCAGGCGCGCGGGTCACTCCTCGTCTTTTTACCTCGGACTCACATGAGATTTAAAAGTCAAGTTGGAAAGACGGTGACGTTGAATAAGGCTTTTGTCGGGTTGTTTTTCTCCAACCTACTATATTTAGCAGCTAGTGTGTGTGTGAGTTGATTTTAGTCAAGAGCGATGGAATGGTGGAGGGAGGGGGTGGGGTGGGGTAAGGCAGGACGAGTTTAGCCAGGGGAATATCCGGGAAATTGGGTTTCCGTTGGAGAAAGCGAGAAAGAGAGGGTGGGGTGGGGAGTGCGAGAAAGCTTTTTTTTAAATGTACTTCGAGGTTGTTTACTTCGCCGCGCTGCTGCTGCTGCTGATTTTGAATGCTTCTCTCCGTAAATTTGGTTGTGAGTTGTGCGCTGCATTTTTACCTAATTTGATTCCTCCTTAAGCGGCGTCCTTTTTTTCTCTGTGGCTTGTTTGCAACTTGGAGTTCTTTGTCGTTTTTAGTGCCTGGAGCCAAAAAAAAGGTTGCCATCAGGAAGTGTTTGGTTCTCGGCAACAGATTGGAAATTGACGTAGTGCAGAGAGGTGTGTTCTCTGTGCCAGAATAGGTTGAAACCGGCAAAAGTACAATGTCACTGCATGGTGACGGGTGTAGGAGTTCACTAACGCTTATGCGTGATTAAAATTAGGTGCTAGTAACACGCAACCCAGCAGTGGTTGCCGCTGAGACGATCTGAGGCGACACGCCGTCTGAGACAGCCTTCCACAACTCTGGCTTTCCTTGGTGTAACGCAGTTGGTCGAAGGGATGCCTACCGGTGAATCGACAATTTGTCGTTCTACACACACATCACCGAGTGATGGCTTTTGTGTGTGTGTGTGTGTTTGTTTGTTGGCGAAATCCCCTCTAGTAAGTGCTTTTCTCTGACCACCCAGGTCGATGTCAAGCTCCGACTTCGGGATGCGCTCCTGGCATGCCGAGACGTTCCAAATGATTCTCTCGCCCCATTGTTCTACGCTAACACGATTCACATCGAAAGGGCGAGCATTCTGGAGTCGTTTGTTCTTTGGTTGCACTGATTTTGTCACTCCCTCGTTACCACAGCTCATTCTCACAACTGCGATCATCGACAATCCACGTTGCTGTATTTACCTTGTGTGCTCAAGTACTCCATTTTAGGCTTGTTTGATGTTGAGGCGCGTGCGGCTTTCAAGCGCTGGTACATGGAGGGGGGGCGGGTTTGCGCCAACGAAATCGCGTCGTCTTAAACACCCTTTAACCCTGCCCTCCCCCCGCCTAGCGTCTGAAACACCCTTTAACCAGTCGTCCTCCCGACACGTCCGACTTGTTGGTTCGTTTTGAAAACGGCAAAGTGGCAGTCGGCCGGCGCACGTCCTTTTCCCACCACACCTGGACCAGATTTGCATCCACAAGCCAGCTTATAATGTGGGACGCGAGAAAAAGGGCGAATTAGAGCCCTTTGTGTGGCCAATTTTCCACCTACTATTTTCAGCCGTCTTTTCTCTCTCTCCCTTGAGGGCGGCGGTGGTGGTGGTGGTGGCGGCGAAGGGGCAAGGGTTGCGCAAGAAATCGGTTCCTAATGCGGGCGAACCACACAAGTGGGAACGCGCATGCACCTTCCCGGCATCGATGCACGCACACACACACACCTTGTTTACTAAACACCGAAAGCATGAACGGGGCTGTGCAGTGCCTACAATGTGCCTCGTGTTCCAGCAACACCATCAAACTGTCCGAGGTGCTGTCGTGTTGGCCACCGTGCCACGCCTCTCCCAATGCGATTGACTGTGAAGTGTCTGTTGACCTCCCCCTTGCTGGGTTTCAAGTGCCACGCGGCGTTGGTGTGTCCTGTTGTGTCGGCTAATCGCCAGCGCGGGCAGTACCCCCGCCCCCTTCTCCGCGTGCCTACTATTTTTAATGAGCGCAACCGTCACTTTTTAAATTTCTTTATTATAACCGCCGCCGCCGCCTCGCATGACTAAATGACGCCACCCCTTTCGCAGGCAGCCTCACGTCGCCTATGTTTATTGGCTGACGGAAAAAAAGCGTTGGTGCGCGGCGTGCTCCTCTCTTTGTCCATTTACCATGATTGAAAAATGTACAATTGACCACCACTTCGCCGCCCACATACGCTTTGAAGGCATCTCCACCTGACCACCACTGATCTTGTGCTCCATCACTCGTACACTTGAAGGTTGCTCTCTAAACAGCCTGTTCTCCCGAAGTCAGTGGTGTCGCGGATAAGTCTATCCACGGTACTAATTGGACCCCCGGATGTTCGTCAAGCTTCTGGTTATTGAACCTCCTTTTGCCACGACCACCCTGAGATCACCGCATTTGATCAGGGTCAGATAACTGACGTAGCGGATAGACGGGGATACATCTCGCGGGCTTGTGCCTTTCCCACTAAAACAAACTCGAACAAACGCTCAGGCTTTCGTTGGCTGCTTCACCTCTGCCCTCCGTGTTTGTACAGATTTTGACCTCTTGTGCCACCAATGCAGCCGTCGGGGTGTTTACACATGAGACCACGAGCATCGGTTCAGGTCGAATTTTCGCAAGGTCGTGTGTCGTCTAGGTTGAATGCGCCCGGATTGGGTGTCAAGAGTCGTTTAGTCACTCTGGGCGTCTCCCCTGTGCACCCACCTCCCACGCACAACACATTGGACCTCCCTCCTCCAGTTCGTCCTTCAAACCACCACCTCGTCTGTGTTTGAACGTGTTTAGTCAAGCGGTTAATTGCGTCGCGTCGGTTGCGTATTTGTACCATTGTCGTACCCACGTCCGCACGCACGCACGCTCTCTTGCGTGAGTCGCTCGGACCCTTTGTGTACTTGCCTGCCACTCGCCGCTCTGACTCACTCGTCAACATCCTCTATGCGCCTCCGATTACGCGCTTTGACCTCCGTAAATTAGATTGACCTTTTTGTGTACAACATTTCGTAGCGCCTTAGCTTAGGAGCCATCGGTTTACGGGGCACACGCATCATGTTTTTAGCCATGTTACACCACAAGCAGGGTCTACCATGCCCCCATCTGTGTCCTAGTCTGGTGCGAGTTATTTTTTTGTTGGCAAACGAGAATAAACAGCCCTCTTGCACCATTGCATACCTTCGTGGTTGCGCATCCCCGTGGTGTTATTTTGATGTGTTTCCGCCACACTTGTTTATGCAGACCCCGCCAAGTCTGTCCGAACGACAACAAGGATGTCTGTTTTCGGGTCGGCGTCCTGTTTTGCACGACACCACGAAATGGCGCGTCTGTTCCTGTGGTCGGTCATCTGCAAATCCACAACGGCCGTACTAGACGCCTAATTAGAGGTGGTATAGTTTTTTTCTGACTCTGTTTCGACACGTATTCTGGTGTTTGTTTAATGAAGCCGACTGCTAACTGTCGGAAATCCTCTCTAGTGTTCATGTTGCTTGTAAAATGCATTGCCTTTTGTGATTAGCTTCGTCGGCCCATCTCTCCCTCCTCCTATTGGTTGCCTTTCTTGGATGTTCGTTAAGCGTTTCGTTATCGGTCGAAAGGTCACTCAGAGATCAACCTTTTTGCCTGATTTACTTGACCCAGATCAGCTAAAAAACCGGCTCCTTTTGTGGATCTCAGATCTGGCTTTTGGGTTGCGCAGAACGCTCTAGTGACGATCCGCCTTCTTCCTGACCTTCGACTGCACCAAGTTATCCATCGCAGATCACTACTAGCATTCAATTAATATAGTAGCATGTGTGCTTAGTCCTAAGAAAACTGGAAAACACATTAAGACATCGGATAAATCAAGAATGGCGTGGTAGATGCGTGAAGGAGGTTAAAATGTCGTAGATCTTCAGTTAATGGCTTTATGATCCTTTTCTGAGGTGAGGTCTTTTTTGGATCGTCAAGTCAAAATCAGCTTTGGTTGTAAACGTCCTATGGATACCTTATCATCAGCCCAGAGTTTCTTAAAGCCGTTGCTTATTTCGCAATCGTCGATAAAATGTAGTCACACAACCCAAGACTAGTCGAAATTTGGGTGGCTGGTGTGGAGCAATGACTTGGTGACCGTGTGATCAAATATTCCGCAAATCCGCGTTTTCTTGTGTTTTTAATCGTTCGAAGAGCTGTAGAAAAGGTTCCATTGCCACACCGAAATGCACCGGCTCACCATCTGGACTCAGTTCTGTTTAAGTGTGGTCACCACGATGGTGGAATAAAGCACAAGTTCAACCAGCATTAGTGTTGTGTTCTAACTTCGTTGTTGCCCTTGACCGCATAATTACCCCCCTCCCTCCCTCCCTCCCCGGCTTCTGATTTCCCACCAAATCGCCGTCAGAGGAATTGATCAGTGAGTGCTGGCGAAGTGATTGACAGACAGGCTTTAATCGTGGGTCGCAAGTTGCGTTCGCAGTCATCAGTGCAGGCAGTTAAACACCTGTCTTCTTGACGACCTTCCGCGCAACCAAATCACCTCGGGTTTGTACATTGCGTTGGTGATTATCTAGGAATCGGGTTTGATTGAGCGCGTTCTTCCGTCAAATCGTTGATCCTTCTAAAATAGGCCTGAGTGATCGTATCTGGTAGATCGGATTTAGTAAGGCTGTAATGTCGTTGACTTTTATGCGCGAGTAATCAGTCGATTCGCTAGAAGAAGCCCCAACTACTGTGTTGTTTTTGTTGAATTTTTTTCCAAGCAATCGGTAGACACATCGAGGTTAACTGATTTAGGCCACCAGAGGTACCTGGAAAGCGGTAAATGTTAATTCAAAGTACATGTACAACGACAAGCCAGTTTGGTGGACTAGGTAATTGACTTCGTCCGCAACTGGGCTCTGCCCGTCAGGTGAATTAACTCGAACTGCCGCTCAGCGATCGCGCCAGCACACTAAAACAGCAATGGCGCGTAAATTGAGCAATGAGCGTGCGAAATGTTACATCTTTTGTCTAGTGGCAGGCATCAGCCGTTGCAGTTGACGCGTTTTTATGACGACATACTCGGACCGTGGCTGTCCTGGAAATCCCACCCCACTGCGTCGCGTTGGTTACGCAATCGGTTAGAGGCATTTTATCGAGTCTTTTGTTCCCCCTTGCTTCGGGTATGGGTTGAATAAACCCTACCAGGTGACTGCACCTTCAGCCACAAGCCGATATTGCCTCGAATCGAAGTGCGTCGTCGCTCTGACTGATCAGGTCAGATCTTAAAAAGAACTGATTTTAAGCACCTTAAGAAGATCACAAGTAATTATTTTCTGGTATTGACGGGAGATCAGTTCTGGGGAGGTGGCAACCTCTACAAACGTGACTGCGTGTGGGCGTGCAGGGCCACATGTGCTGTCCAATGGTCGCCATTATTAAAGCTAAAGTAATGACTAATCACCTGGACACCACATGTGCTAAGGCACAAATAGGGATGGAATTTTGTAAACGTGATTTTCAGCCTTCGGAAGCCCATTAATGCCTGCGAATGCGCCCACCAAGGTGGTTTATCGTGGAATCGCCTCGGCGCGGCTGCTCCCGCTCCTCCGCATTCCATTCCGCCTGAATCCCACAACGCCGCTGAATGGACGTCGTGCTTGCTGACTTGTCACGTTTTGGCTTCGACGGAGTCGATTCATCAGCGATAGGGTCCGCGGGTGCTCGCCTCGCATTTCGTTCCGCCAAGTTGTGCGCTAAATCAGTCGCGTGTGCATTCACATCCGTAAATCTGCATTCATCGGCTTTTTCTCGTATGAACCTTTTCTCACGCCTGGTCTTTTTTTTACCCGTCGCACGCTCTGTAGTTTACCAGAACATTATTAATACCTTTAAACCATCGTGTGTGTGTGTGTTCAAGTTCGCGCGCATTGGTTAACCACATGACTCGGTCTTACGGCGCGTCACTTCCTGCCGTGTGTGTTCGGGCGTGTGTTTCCTGTTCTCAGCTATGTTCCCCTAGTGATCAGGTGTCTGTGGTTGACGGCGGGGTCAGGTGGTGACCACCGCAGCCTTTCGAGTCAAATGCTGGGCCAGTGGGTCGATGGGTTTCACAGGCTAACTCCTCAGCCCCTCACAACAAAACCGCTATCGATCAGTGCCTAACCCAGGCCCCTTCCCTCTTACCAGGTATGGCGACTTGACACCATAGTGGGCATGCTGTACCACGGTCTGCCGATGTCGAGCACGGACACTAACATAATGGTCCACACGTGCGCCCAGGAGTTGTGCGTTCGGCCCCAGCACATCCGGTTCCGCGCGAGCTCCGTGGCCCTCGTAATCGTCCTCAAGGCCCTCGCCCAGGCCGGCTACAGCATCATACCTCCCTCGCCTGGCCTTCACCCTCAGCGTAAGATACTACCTATTGTTTTAAGCGTCCTTTATTACGGTTTTCCCATTAACCCCTAGTACTCCCACTCTCGGCAACCTTTTGCGTGCCAAACGATGCAGTATCCACCTCACACTTTTATTGCACTTTGATGAGTCATTGTCTGGTACTGTACTTCTCTGATGTAAACGCTCTTAACCGGTTTCGTGTTCTTTCTTAACCTCCGTCTTATTCTCGTAGTCTTAGGAGTCATTACCTTGTAAAATTTGTCGTTATTTCCGTGTGATCTTTTGTTTTACTACGCCAGTTTTGTTGAGACACTATTCAAAATTCGGAACAAGTGGATAACGCAATAAGAATTTGGCGTACGGGATTATTTTTCTGTTCTTCGATTCACGGGCATGTATCCGCTGGTATTTGGGGTTGTGTTGCTGACAAAGTTATCCACTGTGAGCGAAAATAACGCCGGACATGGCCCGCCTGTTGTATCAGCTGATTCGCCAATAGAAGATTATCGGTCGCAGATACAACAGGTGCAGTCCTGTGAAGCGGTCTTAACCGAGTTGGCCAATTCCTCTGGTCGTGAAGGCACCGCCAATATGCGTTAATCTAAAATCAATAAGCTATAAAAGTTAATGTGCCGAGTTAGCCTGTCATCGAGCACTACTCGCCAAGTGGTCTAATTGTAACCGCCGCCACACCTAGATTATTAAAACATCCAGCGTGCATAATAATCAACAATAACAACAACAGCAGCAGGCTTGTCGCGACTGTTAGGCAACGAGTTCCACTGTGTTAGCTAGGCATCAGACATTCCTTCGCACGCCCAGTGTGGCCGATGTTAACCACGTCTCCGTTCGACGTAAATACACCCGTGTCGTAGCCATCGCGTGTCGCGATGGCCTATCGCTTATTTTTTTGTTATTTTCTTGAACCCGCGCGACATCACCTCACTCACACACACACGTGGCGGCAAGCGCGCTCGGTAATCGAATTAGCTCCACGCTGATTGACGCATAGGCCGTGCGGGGCCGCTGCTGCCCTGTGTACTACCGGTGGTGTTGGTGCTGTCGTAAACACGTTCCTACATGTGTGCGTGTGTGTGTGTGTGTGTGTCTGTTGCCGTGTTTTCCAGGGGACACAACCTACCCAAAACCCAGCCATTCATCAATTACGAGAAGTTAAGACGTGGTATTGAGGGTTTTTTGGTTTCGTGTGTGTGTGGCGTGAAACTGCAGCTAAATACCTGTCGCCTCACAATCCCATCTATTTCACTAAATTAGTCAACCAAATGACCAATTAGTGTGTCTCGTCGCCCTATCGTCATTGTGCGGGCACTTTGTCATCGCGGATACCCAAATCGCTCCGTCTACTGGCTGACAAGTTTACGCGAGCTGTGTAGATGCCATCTATGGCGAAACTTCTTGCTTTTTCAACCATCTCCTCTGCACTCACAATCAAGTGTGGCTCGCTTGAAGCGCTGTGCGTAGGCGGCATGGAGTAACATGTGCCCTCGTCTTAGTGACTGGTTGTTTTAGCTAATTTTTTTTCTCAAACCAGCAATTGTGGGTGTTTTTATTCAATTTCTAAACCCTACACTTGTGTGGTTACTGTCAATTTTGACATTGCCTTAGGTGCCCTGCCTTGTGCCTTCTAGCGTTAAACCTTTTCCCTCAGATCACGTCTGTGACGATTAAACGTGGTCGGTTGCGTCCACTGGTGCGGCATTCCATGATCTTGTACGTGTCGGCTGCCATAATCCGCGTCCTATCACAAACCAGTTGTAATTTCCGATCAAACAGACTCCATTTGGCACTGCGTTGCACAAACTTGAAGCCTCGGATTATCTCGACCGGGCGCACTCTCAGGTACTACCAGATCGAGTTTCAGGTGTCCGGGAGTGGGAATAAGTCGGGCGTCGCTTTGACACTTGATACGTGGGACGCGGCCGACCGATGACGTGCCGAGTGTTGTAGTGCAAGTGACCACGGCGCCGTCTCCGTGCTGCAGTCTTCGAAAAATCCACGCTTCTGATTGAATGTCGTGCTAGAGGTACGGATACCATGCAGTATTGAGCAGCAAATTTCTGTCTTCGTGCTCTTGCTCTGTTCTGTAAAATCGTCAGTATGGGAGAATAAAAGAGCCAATCCGGAACGTTCTACAACGCATACATGTTATTCTAAACAAAAAAAGCGAATGCCTACTGCTATTTCCCAATTCAACTAGTGTTTCGACGAGACCAGTAGAGCAAAACAAGGGGTTAAACGCGAATAATGCGGCAAATGCCACGGTTTAATGGGCGATTCTTTCGCGTCTCAGTTGCCATTATTACAAACTCTCAACTATCCCCAAGGAGGTTGGTATTTCTTTCGGGGCCAGAAGTTGTCACTGCTGATTCGCTCATCTCCTAGCTCCGCCTACTGCTTTGCGTACTTTTAAATCGCCGCGCATTCAACACGACACCACGGCTAGCGTGGCTCGGCATTGAAGTGGCGTTATCCATGTGACAACATGGCGTCTTTATAAGTGGTGCTGGGGCCCCTTGCACTGCTTTTGCGTTTGAAGTCACCCAAGGGCGCCCTACCCTCGTGCTCCTTAACACAACGAGGTTCAGGCAGGTGTATTTTGAAAAGCCGTCTTTTTTGGAAATGATGGTGGTGCGTTTGCTTAATCACCTTCTGTTCGTGGTATGCTGTGGTGAATTTGCGGTGCTGGACTGGGACTCGGAGAAGAAATTTGGCAATCGAACCCACGACAGTCGCGTGGTGTCAGTCGTTTCTACGTCATTGTCGCTGTCGCCCCCCTTCCTGTCACGAGTGTGTTGTGGGCCCCAGCATGTAGTCTTGAACCACACCGGGGCCACTGAATTAACTCTGGCCCGATTACGCTTCCCTGATGCCCACGATGAGGAAAAAGACTGGAGAGAACGTGGACACAACCGTTTACTTCAGAGCTCCACCAAAATTGCTTTCGTTGTGTCGAGTGTGGGGTTTGTGCGTGTGTATTTATAGATCAGATGTGTGAGTCATACGTGCGCTAACATCGAGACCTAGGTGTGAGGTTAATCCAAGATAAATATTCGTGTGAATGAAGAGGGGTTAAGGGTTTGCGCGGCTGTTGCCATGCTGCGAGAAGGGGAGCCTTGTATCGGAGGCGGATCGATCGGATTAAGGAGTTGAATAAACACGATTCCCAACAAGTTCATTGCGGATCAGGAACTTGTGTTATTGACACGGGGGTCTTCGGCGTGTATCGGTTGATTCTTAGGCGGCATTAAACGGCGTCTCCAGCCATGCAATTAATTAATCGCCCTCCAAACACTCAATTAGTAAGGTTGTTTAGTGTTTCCGTGTGCCCTTTGGTGATCTGAGCGGCACGTGCCACTGCTTCCTCTAATTGTCTGTCATTTCTCCTCCTCCTCCTCCTCCCTCATCGTACTAATTAACTTACGCAACTCCTTTTATCCCGAAACAAACCACAGTCGATTATTCTGCGGTCCACTTTTTATCCCTCTTATAACCACTTTGGGTGGTTGATTCGCGGTTTTTTGGGAACAGGGGAGGAGTGGGCAGGGAGTGGAGTTCTTTCATTTGCATTTCTCGCGCGTGAAGTTGATTGATCCATCTTTTGTTTTTCGCTTCATCTGCTCAAACGCCTTCCCTATTTTAACTTCCAAACCCTGCTGTGTTTCTCCTATGCGCATTAATGTGTTCTTGCCTTTTTTTTTAGCCTCGGACGAGTCAGTGGATGTGTTTGGCCCGTTCTCCATCGAGGAACTGCAGCAGTACCGCAGTGGTACGTCCTGTTCTTGTGTGTGTATGTGCGTGTGTGAGTTCTAGTGATCGCCTTGTCTCGTAGGTCGATAAGAGACACTTTTGGAGTGTTAAAGCATATGTCAGTAGCATGGGCTTGAGTTCTGCATCAAAAATACTGCAAGAGGATTCCATCGGACTGCCTGACACGCTTGTGGGCATCGCGCGAGGGAGATTACCACCAGAATCCCCCGCCTATCACGGTAGATCGATCGGCTGTCGCCATCTCGCTCCAACAACGCCACCGACCCCCCCCCCCCCCCCCCCCCCCCCCCCCCCCCCCCCCCCCCCCCCC